ACTTGGAAACATGTAATATATCATTTACAGACGTCACAGTTCTGCTTCCCACAGGAACCATTTTGAGCTATTTCAATAACTATGACAGTTGAGCTGGGGATGGGGAGAGGATGCCAGCTGCCTAGTGTACCAAGTGTACCAAACCAAGTGTGCCAAAGCAAGTGCACCAAACGTACCAAGGCTTAACCTTTGACAAACAAGGGCATACTAAAAAACGATTTTCTTTACATTTTTATAACATTTTATTTACATTTATTTGATCTATTTATTACATTTATAAACAGTGAGGTTAATGGTTAATGGTTGTTTTGTGGGAAAACTATGATACAAATAGCTGCATCTTCTATTGATATTAACTTGTCTCGTCTTTCAAAACAGAGTTAAACTTATAAGGACATAGTAGTTTTATTAACACTGCAATTACATTTATCTCTGTTCTATTTCAGATACAGTTTGTTACTGTTTACTTTGCAAATGTCAAACAGGCCTGTTGTGCCAAAAGATTATAAACAGTATGTTCTTCACACTACTGTGGGCTACTTCATGTAGTTTGACATTTCTCGAACTTGGCGGAACGAGAAATGACTGTTATTGTTCAACACAAACAATCGTGTATCCAAGTCAAACGTGTGTTCTCAAACTGACTCACTGTTGAGGCACTGAGACACAGTGGAATACCAGGTGCTGTAGTGGGGAAGCAGAGGCTCAGTGCTGAGAGTATGTTCATGCTCAGACCAATGAATACTTTTGTTGTGTCTTTGGGCAAGACACTGAACCCACCTACAGTCTTGAAGTACACTCATGTATGAAAGAGAGTGTGTTTGTGGGAGCAAATCTGGGACAATGTGCAGGGTTGCCTCTCCACAGATCTGACCAGTAACTTGGTCTGGTTTGATCTCCATGATGATACAAAGTAGGGATGTAACCGTATCCAAATCTCACGGTACAATATTTTCACGATTTACATCTCATGGTACGGTATTTATTGCGATATTTTGTGGAGGTTAACAGAATTGTGAATATGCTACTTTTTCCTCTTAAAATGCCTTGACAAAACTTAATCCAAAGAACTAAGATTTAAAAGTGCTTAGAATTCCTATTTCTTCATGTACTCAGAGCCAAAACAGAGCAAAGGATCATGGTCTATGTAGTTCCCTCTGTTTTTTTAGCTATTGCTGCAACATAACAATTAATTTAAGCAAAGAAACTTGTGATTCAGTATGTTGTGATGGCCTACAATATTACTGTGAGACTTTTAACGATACGATATCAAGATATTTTGGAAAGAGATTGTGTTTGTGGGAGCAAATCTGGGACAATGGATGGAATTCATCCTATAAAATCCAGCCTGTTTACAGATCATGTATGTTGGAAAAAAGAAAACATGCATTCACAGACCACATAAAACTAAATAATAGGTTCTACTCTATTTCAAATGACTACAAATATAAACAAGATATGTAAACACCAATAACCATTTTTCTATGTAGGCCTACCTTGAATGAGTAAGTTCTAATAGTAGATCTAGTAGATTTCAGTAGATCATAGATTTGGGGAAACTTCTGCCATGCCATTGTTACCTGCTATAAGCCGTAAAAGACATTGTTCCAAAACAGAGGTGGATGAGGAACACAGATGGGCCCGTGTGATGAATCGGTCCCATTCACTCTGTCACCTAATAGCACTATAAAAAATTACATAACAGCAAAAAATGAGTGGTGCTCTCATTAAAGCAAATAATATTTTCAAAATGTGGATTTGGAAAGCAGCGAGGTATGCTACTTAAATACACATCATAACTCTGGAGTTGTCATTAAAAACAAGAAAGTGCCTCTAACTTCTACCTGTGGCCTCACGCATCTGCCAGCACTCTCTGAATTACACAGCGCTGAACAAAGACATAATTACATGATCCGAGCCTTGACAATTCTCCATTCTGCTCGCTGTCAAAGAGGGTACATTGGTCCAGATGTAGTGCTTAAAGTGTGAGCTGTCTCCAGTTACACTCATAACAATCTGAGACAGCCCGCGTCTTTCCCATTGTAATGTCACGCTGCGCTATGGCAGGGCTCTCCCATTGTTCTCACCGATATGTTTATAGCTTTGTGCCTGATATTTGATAACCAATAAGTAAGAGGTTGTAATTACAAGGCCCACACTCCACGAATTGCTTGACAAATGTGTGAAATAAAAGATGCAGGGGGTTCTTCAAGGAGGCTAGTTATTACAAAGACTTGGCACATGTCGGTATTGTGAAAAAAAAAAAAAACTATAGGGCAGTAATAAATAGCGCACAACCACTCTCCCTACTCAATTGCAAAATAAACAACACTGACCCTCTCTATACAAATCACCTTTCAGCCAGCAAAATCAAACAGTTGGTTGCAAATATTCCTACTCTTTCACCATTTGCAGTTAAGGTCAAGAATAAAATAGCATAATTAGATGTAATAAAAACGCACTAGGGGAGCACAATAGGCTTGTATTGTAGTGAAGGGTGATAAAGAGCGGTGGTGCGGTCAGACCTCGAGTCTCCTGAACTAATAAGCAACATAATGGTATTGATTTGTGGTAGACGTGGCCTGAGGAATGCATGGAACAGTATATGGAATTACCACAATGTCCAAATGGGATAAAGTCTAATGTAAATAATTAGCATGGTCCGCCACTTTAGCCTTCGTATATACAAGTATAGAGGTCATTTAGCGCAAAGTGTTCCAACAGAAACACTGCACTAGCGCTTTTACTGGAGTGGTTTGGACACTAATGCATCCTGATGTGAGCGTCTTAACTTGCAGAAAGATACAGTATCTCTGTGGTGGTAATGGAAGGCCTTCTAAGGGCACACTCTCACTTGCTCTCTCTAACGACCCTCAGTCTTTGACGTGTAAGGTAAAATACATTTAAGTGCCGAGCTGCAGAGTAAAAATGGAACTCAATCAAACACATTTCTGATTCAAGACCTGGTGGTGATGACGTACAATAAGATATCATCGTCTGGAATTTCACCACATTCAATCAAGTTTTTTTACTTGTTTCAAGATCTGATAACTGCACACTTTGACTCCCTCTACCTCAGATTGAAGTCAGACGCCAGAAGGCATAAGAAGAAAAGATTTTCTTGTTTAAGTTCAAACGATTATGATAAAGCTAGCACAGAAGCAACAGTTCCACACCTCATTTAGAAGAAAAAATGTAACACTTCATGGAATTAGCATTTATAGTTAATGACTTAACTTAGCGGGAAAGTTTCGCATAGATATCCCTAATTATAACTTACTATGGCAATATGGAACCAAGTTTCTTAACATAAAGTGCAACACAAATGGAATGTGTGCATATTTTTCTATTTTTTGTTGGCAAATCACTATTTGTGTGTCACTACGCTGAGGAAAAGTTTAGTGCATCATTACACAATACTCCAAATGATTGTACAGAAAGCCAAATTCTTTGTTTTTGCTAATCTGAGCTGACAACTGGACTACATGTGGACATTTATCTGACTGGGTGGTATTTGTCTTTTTATCTAAATCTCTTTAGACATGCTTTGTGTAATTGAGTGGTCAAATCTAGGATGCAGCTTGTGTTCTGCATACTTCTCTGTAGTATGTTGGCACGGGTTCATGTGGAGACAACACAACCATTCACACGGCAGACAAGTGCAAAACTGCCCTGAGCGGACACAGTTTAAACACAGGGGCTAATAGAGATAGTATGCAGTTGACAGCCAATGCAGTTCTACAGGGCGAGAGGCCAGAATCCTCGAGTTCCTGCCCTGTTTGACAAAAGATCAAATGCTCAAGGCAACAGCTGTGGGGCCGCATGCTCTCCTCATTTAGCCACTAGATGGAAACAATAGCTCCATGCTCTGCACACTCACTTCAGTATTCATTTTCTGCATGTTAGATGTGATTCTGTGCATCACTTCGCTTATTTTGTCCAACTCATTCAAATAATCTCTTAATACATGCACTGTTTGCCTGTGTGAGAATCAAAGCAAGGACCTTACCATCAAAGTGAGGTCTTTGTGGCCGATTCGTTCCTTCAAGATGAACCCTCAAAGAGCCATTCAATCTGCAGAAAAAGGGGCAAAGGTTAGGGCCAGAAAAAAGCATCATATCAATAAGTACCATTACAATGTTAGAATAAAAACGGACTGGTTGACATTTTTAGGATTACCCTTCTTTCTACCGCAAGACCTAGAAGAGCACATAGCTTTAAGAATCATAGTTAAGAATCAGCTTTTTTGGGCTCAATAATAATTCTCTAAACATTAGCACTAATGATGACAGAGTAATTATGACTCAGCAACAGTGCAATGCCACTGGGACTATCATTTTACTCAAACTGTGGACTATTTTCTAGAACGAGACAGGAGAAAAATAAACTACTCTGTTTAACTTTGGTTGGCAGTAGGGAAAGGAAATGTATTAAACAATTTGTTCCCAACAACTCACAATGTGTTTAGGAAACAATAATGGCTTTATTTAGATGTTGCTGACCGTTTTTACTGAGGGACAGATTGCTTGACTTAATTGTAGTATTTATGTTAGAGTTGTTGTTAGTCTATTTCGCCATAGGTCAATTGTCGAATATAATTAAAACCAAGCATGTCGGAACACATGGGTACAGGCCCATAAACAAAAGAAAGCAGCATCCAAACTAATCATTAATCTAATTTTGTATATTCATATACAAGACACGTGTCTTCATGCATAATAAACCACTCTAACCACTAAGCTATTAATTAAAATTATAGGCAGATGCAAGGACAATAAGCCACAGATTTAATAGGTGCATTCACACAGCTTTACCTTGCATTTGGACTGTTAATAAGAAGCGGTCCTCTGTGCATTTTTCCAAGTGATTCGTGAGTGGGGAAAATGTGCGCGTCACGGAGCCCACCCCTCGCTCCCCTCTCTCTGTCTCTCTCTCTCTCTCTCTCTCTGCGACTCAAGTCCCACTGAGCTGCTCTCAAACTTCAGTGTCGAGCCTGAACGCAGACTGCAAAGAGCGGGATAGACAGACAGCGAATATTTCAGCTACACGTATTTTGGAACCGCAACAATCGTCTTTACGCACCTTACGTGTCTGCTTAACTTTGGCGCACGGCTTGGAAGATTTGCTCTTTGCTCGACTGAACTGTTTTCATTTTTCAACTTTATTCCCCAGTTGAAGTTTTTGAGTATCTTCGCACGGACCTTAATTGTTGTTGGGATTTATCGCTTTATTTCAAACAAAGTATCTCGGACTATTGAGTTTGTGGCAGTGTTTTGAACGGAGCCTATTGAAGTGACGTCTGGAGCTGCCATCGCAATGGGGAAAGCGGGGCTCTTAGTGTAAGCGACCCCGTGTTTGTGACTCTTTCATGTTGATTTTAAATAGACAGTGACTCGTTTTGTGACTACAACCATGGGCCTGGATGGTTGTCCTCTAAAGGTGGTGGTCTTTCTGTGGTGTTCGCTGGTGATTTCTGGCTCCACTTTTGAGATTGGCTCCTACGACTTGGAGCGAGACAGACCAGCGAAGTGCGAACCAATCGTGATCCCCATGTGCCAGGGGATCGGCTACAATCTGACCCGCATGCCCAACTTCATGGACCACGATGACCAGAAAGAGGCTGCAATCAAGCTGAATGAGTTTGCTCCTCTTGTGGCTTATGGCTGCGACGTGCACCTCCGCTTTTTCCTCTGCTCCCTGTACGCCCCCATGTGCACGGACAAAGTGTCAACCTCCATCCCCGCCTGCAGACCCATGTGCGAGCAGGCGCGGGAGAGATGCGCCCCCATTATGAAGAAGTTCAGCTACACCTGGCCGGACTCCCTGAACTGTTCCAGGTTGCCCACCAGGAACGACCCCAATGCGCTGTGCATGGAAGCGCCAGAGAACGAGACCAGAGTGGTGGAGGGCAAGAAAGGCGAGGGCATGCTTCCTATGCCACCTCGCCCCCGGCAACCTGGTACCAACACTAATCGCTCTCCAGGCAGCATGGGCTCCTGCGAAAACCCAGACAAGTATCAGTTTGTTGAGAAGAGTCAGTCCTGTGCCCCCCGGTGCTCTCCTGCTGTGGATGTTTTCTGGTCAAGACAGGACAAGGACTTTGCGTTTATCTGGATGACTGTGTGGTCCATTCTCTGTTTTGTCTCCACAGCATTCACTGTCCTGACTTTCCTTCTGGAGCCGCACCGCTTCCAATACCCAGAGCGGCCCATCATCTTCCTCTCTATGTGCTACAATGTCTACTCAGTGGCTTTTATAATCCGCTCTGTGGCTGGTGCTGAAAATATAGCCTGTGACCGAGAACACGGAGAGCTCTACATCATCCAGGAAGGGCTGGAGTCCACAGGGTGCACTATTGTCTTCCTCATCTTGTACTACTTTGGCATGGCCTCATCTATCTGGTGGGTCATTTTAACCCTCACCTGGTTTTTGGCAGCAGGGAAAAAGTGGGGTCATGAGGCCATAGAAGCTCACAGCAACTACTTTCACATGGCAGCATGGGGCATCCCTGCACTGAAGACCATCATCATCCTCACTATGAGGAAGGTAGCAGGGGACGAGCTCACAGGACTGTGCTATGTGGGCAGCATGGACTCTGGGGCATTGACAGGTTTTGTCCTTATACCTCTGTCCTGTTACCTGGTCATTGGAACCTCTTTCATCCTCACAGGCTTTGTGGCTCTATTTCATATTCGCAAAGTGATGAAAACAGAGGGCACCAACACAGAGAAACTTGAGAAGCTCATGGTAAAAATTGGCATCTACTCCATCCTGTACACTGTGCCAGCCACGTGTGTGATAGTCTGCTACTTCTATGAAAGGCTCAACATGGACTACTGGAAACTCCGAGGGCTTCAAATGAAGTGTGGCTCCTTTAACAGCCATCACAGTGACTGCTCACTGCAGAGCTCAGTGCCCACAGTGGCAGTGTTCATGCTGAAGATCTTCATGTCTCTGGTGGTGGGCATCACCAGTGGAGTGTGGGTGTGGAGCTCCAAGACCCTGCAGACCTGGCAGGGCCTGTGCAGCAGGAAGCTGGCTGATAGGACTACGAACAGAAAGCCATGCAACAGTGTGAGCTGTAGCAGCACGCAGTGCCACTACAAGTCTCCAGCTGTGGTCCTGCACATGGCTAAGACTGAGCTGCACTCAGACAACCCCACACATGTCTGAGTGATGCAGGGGAAGCATTCAGGTACACGCTGCTCTGTGAAGGGACAAACTCAAAGACTTGGTGAATTAAACTGTTATTCTGCTGCAGCCATGGAGGAACAGGCATCAGTATGAGAAGCTATTACAGTATTTTTTTGCATCAGTGTTCAGTATTGTTATGCATATTTTCTGTTCCATGTGGTTTTGTGCAGTAGACAGTCCCAGTGTAGCAAAAAAGAAAATATTCTTTATAAAGGGAGGTATAATTGGAGGCATGATTAACTGTAAAAATATGTATAAATGTGTTATTTATTGTAAATATATTTAATTTAAGTTCGCCTTTACTCTGTTTAGATGCATTTATTGAAGTTTAAAGATCAAGGAAAAAGTGCCTTTTATAAGAACGTGGTTCTTGCATTTAGAAAGATAATAAATTGTGGATTTAATGTTTATTATTGTTGTGTTTTATTTGTGATTTATATTTGTCACAAATGATGCTTTATTTTTAACAGTTGGGTAAGCATTTGTGCGGCATGCTCTCTCCCAGAGGCGTCGCCAACAATAATCCTCAAAGAGAATTGCTGATGAATCGAGTGACAAAGCGCAGCAGTATTCATGTTTGCATCACCATCTTTAAAATGCAGCGGCAGTTTGCAGAGGAATATATTTAATTAATGAATGTTTTAATCCGTGCCCCAGCATCAGTGTTGTTGCCCCTCTTGCTGCTCCATTTGATCCCTGTGCAAACACTCTGCACTTTGATGTAAGAGGACAAATCTGAAGTGGATTTCAACCCTATTGCGTGGTTTCACTGACAGCTTTGAGTGCAGCTCAGGCACTCCAGGCGGGTAATTCATAGAGGAGAGGATTAAAACTAAGCTAAACTCAAAACTATTCACATTTAGTTCTGGCTTTTATGTTTGAGGGAGCTAGGGTTTTTCATTATAAGTAATTCAGTGATACAAGTGGATGGCTTAATTTGAGTGTCTATATTTGAATTTAATTAGAATCAGAACCAAAGTGTACATTTTAATTGTGGAAACAATGTGCCATTATGATTTAGTATAAATTATTTTATGATTCAGAGAAAAAACTATGCATAGCATTATTTTTCATTAAATAAATAATCCACTTACAGTCTAGCAGCCAGCATTTTAGTTTTTATGATGCACCAGAGTCACCATGTACTCAGATGGTCCATAAATGAGTGAAAATAAATAGCTTTTACATTACGAGACTTCTACCATTGAAGTGCCAACGTAAACTGCTGCCACACACTGCAAGTCATTTTGCAGCAGGACACAGTGGAAATGAGAGTGTTTGACAGTCCGTGGAGGTGACGGTTTATTATTACATAGCCTGTAATAGTGAGCTGCAGTGTCACACATGGAGCTGGCCTGGCTGACAGCATGGAAAGAGTGTGATGATGATCATGAGCTCAAGACAGCCAGTGTCCAGCCATAACGGGACCTGCAAAGTGGGTGTGCGCACACTATACAGATGACTTCCATAGTTAATGTTCATTTACATGTTAATTTACAACACTTCCAAAAATAATAAATCAATGTAGGCTTATAGGCTACTGTGTGTCCAAAGTAAACCAGCCTTAGTTCCACTGTACTATAGTGTGGACCAATGCAACGCCTCAGTTAACTCAAATTAGTTATTCCCTCCTTCTTTAGAACACAGTGTGAATTAACTACCAACATCCTCCCTCCCTTTTTTGTGTTTTCATTACTCAGCCATTGTAGACATTGTCCATGGCTTGGCAGGCTAGTGCTGCAAGTCCTGGACTCTGACACCGTACGGATCATATTTTAGCAAGAAAAAAAACTGCAGTGTTTTTGTTGGAGCATGCTCCATGCAGCCAGACCTACGGCTGGTGGTGTTTTAGCCACATGTTCCAGTTCATGGACGCCTGAAAGGGGGCACGTGCTGCCTCCCCAGTTCACACTCCAGTGACATGAACCACAGAGGCCAAGCACTGGCTGCGTGAGACACAAAGCAGCCTGCTCCACCTGCGCTAAGCTACACTGATTAGATAGAAAGAGGCAGCAGCACAGGGTTAAGGACACAGGGCACATTTGTCTTTTCCTTTCCATTCTCACAGGAACTTGAAATTTATTTTTATAACTTTCCACTTTTGTGAGTGGAATGGGTTGTTATAAGCTTCAAAGGTCAAGAGGTATACCATGTTAAACCAGACAAGGATTTTGACCCTAGATTTCAAGGCGAGTTTCAGCTATTTATAGCCCCTCTGTCACAGTAAAGGCATCAAACACAAGTTCAGATTGCATCAAAAAAGCATTTTGATTCCAAAAGCATGGGTTGTTTGAGTTGTGGTTCCTTTGGCGCCAGAAAACACCTTCCTCATACACCTGAGGTCAAATGAACTGGAGACTTGCCATCCAATCAACAGCCAACTTCCTCCGTGCACTTACCCCACCCCATGGCTCAACTATGTCAACATTTCAGGAATAAGTAAGTTCGGTCACAGCTGAAAAATTCAGTTTGGCTAGTTATGTGCGTTGTTTTTTTCTTCACTGGCTTTGAGGGTACAGTGAGTCAATGAGGGTCAGACTGTGCAGCAGCAAGTTTTTGAGCCAAAGCAAGACTGGTTCCACAAAAGACCACATTTTCACTTGTAGATTGTTCTCCTGGGTCCATAGTAAATCTTGCAGTTATTTGTCAAGTTTAAAACAAACAGTACAGGTCTATTTGCACTGGATTTACAAAGTTTATTTATTGTAAAAAGGCATCAGCTGTTATCCAACATTAGCTGCTGACTCTGTGGTTTTGTCTGTGGACGACAAATCCCTCCATCTGGTCATGGGTCTGATTAAAGCCAATCATTATGGCATCAATGCGCCCTCATGGACCCCTTGCCCACCCTGGAGGGAAAAAAAAGGAAAATAAAGCATCCTTCATTGGCCTCCTCTCCCTCCCTCCTTCTGCAGTGCTGTGCCCCCCTGCTCTGAGCACTATCCCTTTCCTGTGCTGTTTTGATGTGTAAATGAGCACATTGAAAACCTGCAAGCCCCTAAAGAGATGCTTTCCATGAAAATGCGCCAGTCAGAGAGCACTGGAGTTCACACAGCCAGCCACTATCTGCAACCGGACTCCAATCAGACACAAATATGCCAACGCCATCCCATCCGTTACAGCAGACGACACAATATGACCTGAAATAGCTTAAAAAATATAATAAAAAGGATGTGCAGTGCTTTTGATGTGCTCCAAAATCTACAAAGAAGAATGTGGAAAGCTCTTGTGAATTAAAACCAACTTTAATTGTGCAATAACATAACATAATAAATACAACACAGGCTTTTTATCCAACTTTAAACCTCAAATTAAAATGCAATAAAACAAAAAACACTGAGGTTCCTCATGCATAAAAGATAAAAGGATTTTGTGGGGAAATATGCATCAACACTGGATGGATTTTAAAACATGGTCAAGAAAGCCTGAGATAACATGATACAAGGCAACTGAACTAATTACATGTCGACAGAAAGTAATTAAAATAGTGCAGTTTTATGTATATATTATAATATGCAAGTAATATGTAAATTGGTTAAATCCTTGTTTTATCATTGTGACTTTCTTTCAGGTACTTTGAAAACAAGTTTGTGTTTGAAGCAGTAAAAGTGAGTTGGAAAGTTAAAACCAGATGACATGGATTTGCCTGTTATAAATAATGCTAACAAAATTATCTGTAATCCATGAAAATCTAATCTTGGTACTTGCCCTTTCTTTACAAATTTATGTCCTGAAATAACTTTTTGAGTGATGTGGCTGACGGGCAAAACTAAACAATACTGGCAAAGACAAACTATGCTGAGGTAACTACCCCCTTCCAGAAATGAAATAAGGTTAGTGCTATCAAAAATGTACAAAGAACAGGTTTTGTTCCAGCTTTCCTTTGATGACACATATCTTTCTTTTGCTTGAGGGGTTCAATGAGATAGGAGCAGGTGTAGCATAAAGACACAGGTCTACAAGCATTCAAGTAGGAGATTGGTTGGAATGATCAATATAATAAGCAAGTCTGAGCTTTCGGAGATCACGGTTGTTAGCCATACAGGGGGACAAAAGTTTTGGAGAAGTTTCAGCTTTTTACAGTATCTTTTTCTCAGTGCTTTTTCATGTTCTTTGATCAATAAGCAGAAGACAGGGAAGTAAAGCTCCTCATGCCTCTGTACTCATTCCTGCGCTGTGTCTGCCCGTGGCTGAAGCCGAGATGAATCGCTGAACAGAGGGAGGTTCCGCTGTGCGCTCTCTGAAGCCAACACCATTGCTGTGATCACGGCTAATCTCCTTTGCCACTCCGCTGCCATCTCCTCAAATACATTCAGCTCATTTCCAATAGTGTTCAGACGCAGAGCCTCTTCTTCCTTTCTAATTAGGCACGTCAAGATTTCAGAAGTCACTCTTTGGTGTTCGGCAGCGGGCGAGATGGGCCTTTGAGCGAGAGGGTCAGCGATGGCAAGTATTTGTTTGAGGGTTAAATCACAGCAGGCCTTTCATCATGTTGTTATGTTGCACGATCAGAGGCTCGGGATTATGTAGGTCAGACGTTGGAGAGTGAGAGCGCCCCTTTTGTAGCTGCCATTTTTATTCAGTTGCTAGGCAGCAGCCGCTCTAATCTCTTGTACCAAAGAGTCTCTCCCCGGAGAAAAAGAGAGGGAGCAGGAGTTACAAAGGATGAAAAAAATGTGAAAACAGCATCAACAAAGAACGCAAAGCCATGCTAGGACTGCATTTGGAAACAGTCTAAAAGAAAAGGGCGAGGAAAGACAGGATGTGGGAGTCTAAGCTCAGCACTGAGACCTGCCTCAGCCCTCCTCCAGGTCAGACTGGACATCCTTAAAAGTGGCCTGCTCATGTGGACAGTGGAACTACTGTGAAACTAAACTTACATTTCTAATGGCCAGATTGTGCGTTACAGTTCCAGGAAAATATTATTCTATAAGGCTTTAAGCTATACATTACCACAAGCATAACAAACTATACTGGTGTATTATAATTGTTTGACCATGCTTTTAATATAAGCAAGTTAAAAAATTGCTGGGAAAAGTATTTTGTCAGACGATTTTTTTTTTCTCTTATCTTCACTTGAGTTCACACAAAAGATTTCTCCAAGCAAAAACGGTTGATGATGCCACTTTGGTGTGACACCACCTTCATCATGCAGGATAGACTGAAAAAAGTAGCTGCTTACAAGTCAAATCAAACTGACACATCAATTAGTTGCTGCAACTAATAAAG